GGAACATGGTACCAACAGAACTACACACTTCGATTTTTTTATTCTGTGCGAGTCACAATTCCTGATGAAATCTATTAAACACATCGCCATCTCTATTTTACATGTGTAGAAATTGAGATCCCTGGAAGTTCTGCACTGGACCAGTGCCGTGCTCTTTGGAGCTGGGATATAATGTGTGGCACTTACTGTTGCTGTGCTCAGTGCTGCCTGCCTTTGCAGCACGAACTGGCTCGGCTGTCCATTCTAAGGCACCAGCTATGAAACTGGTCATCTCTCATCACCTGACTGCTGTATCCAGTTGGCACTGGATTGTGACACAGGTCTTCCTAGGTCTTGCTGGGTCAAGACTGCAGGGTCTATTTCTTTGTTTTTCATGTTCTTGTTGTCTATTTGTAATTTTTATTGAAATATACTTACAGAAAAATGTACAGCTCAGTGAATTTCCACAAAGTGAAAACAAATACACACTAGAGCACTCAGATCAAGAAACAGAATATTGGTAGCACCCCAAGACCACCTCACATGGAACCAGTTCTCACTCCTAGGGTAAACATTCCCCAGGCCTCTAATAGCACAGTGTATATTGATATAAAGGCAATCATAGTCTACAGTGAGTGTGTGTGTGTGTGTGTGTGTGTGTGTGTGTGTGTATGTTTGTCCATCAATGTTCTGTTGGTGAGATTTATCCACATTGTTAAATGTAGTTGGTTTGCTACTATTGATATATAGACACAATTAATTTATCTTTTATATAAATGGGCAGACATTTGAGAAGGTTCCACTTTGTGGTTCCAGTACCTATTGGCCCACAGTGTCCCATATTTTTGTAGAATAGCTTTTTTTTTATTTTTTTAAGTTATTGAGTTATTTAGCAAGACATTTCTTGATTCAGCCTTAACAGATGGGTCTGCCTCATTTCTCTTTTGCCAAAGTCAGCAACTTTTCTTTTGTACCCTTCCTTTGTTAGGGTCAAATATGCCATACCATTTGCAGCCCCCTAATATGTGCCGAGCAAGGGCCAAACCTGACCTGTTTGCAAAGGCTCTAATGTTTGCAAAGACCAGCTCTTTATATCCACATCCAGGCTGCAGAGTGTAGATTCAGCTTCCTGGGGCAGGCTCACACAGTCTCTGGGGAACTCGGGACTCAGCAGTTGACCCTGTAACTCATTTCCCTTCACACCCAGTTGCTGGTTTTCCCACTGTGGAGATGAAGCTTTCTGTATTCTTCTTGTCTCCCAATTGAAAAGCATTTCTGTTCGGCTTCCCTCCTGCTTTGTTCTGCTCCTAAGATGGATAAAAGTGGTTTCTCTCCTAGCCTGTGTTTCTCTTTTCACCTCACAGTCTCTTCCTTTTCTCCTTTGGCTACACGGGAGCTGGATTTGGTCCAAGTCTACTTCTGTTGCTTGTCCTGTGCTGTGAATTCCACCTATATCTCCCTGAGATGTTTTGATCATTGGTGTTTCTGTTTCCTTTCCCTTCCCCTCAGACCCCCTTAGTCATTTCCTTACCTGAAATCTCTTTTTCCAGATTGGCAGCCCTCCTGCTCCCAGAGTGACTGGCTCTGACTTTCCATCAGGAGGGGAAAAGCACAGTTCTCTGGGTGAAGCGGGGCAGGTCAAGGTTTATACACTGACTTGGTATAGCATGAGGCAGAAATAAAAACTAGCTGGTTCTAGTTGTGAGAGCCAACTACAAAGAAGAATAGAAGTCAGGTGGCTACAGGAATGAAAACAGCAGGAAGCACTGGCCTTCAGATTTGGGGCTGAGCTTCCTTGTAACAAAATAAATGAAAGAAAGTATAGATTATAGTGTTGCTGTTATCAGAACAATAGATTAAAACTTAAAAATCGTGTTTATAATAGATTTGAGAGAATGTCTTAGTCATTGTTATTTCTCCTAAACAACCAGCATACTGTGGTCTATAAATATTTTAAGGCTAAATTAATAAGTTACTATTATCCCTGAGCCATCTGTAATGAATATTCACTAGATAGCAGGTAGTTTCTAGGGTGTCACAACTCCAGCAGTGGACACTCTGGTTCCCCTATGTTCAAATGCAGAAAGCAAATCTCAGACAGTTGCTTTCAGGAAGTCATAGCTCTCCTTGGACAGTTCCGGATTTAAACTCAGGTGAACTAATAGAGCCAACCTCTAAGGAATCTGAGATGACAAAATACATGGGTATTAAGGGGCATTTCCATTTGCCAGACAATAATGCCAACATGTGGGGAGAGACCACCAGAAGCTTGGGCAGGCTACACTCCCCTCTGCAGACATGGGTTCCAGTCCCAACAGGGCCACTTTTTCAAGTGAGAGATCTGGTTTAAATTTAAGAGTTTTTACTAGCAGAATCTGGAGTGTGTGATGGGTTATGTGTGAGTAGAAGAGGGAAACTCTGGTCAGTGGGAAACGAACAATGAAATAGAGATGTGAAGGGGGTGCTGCATGAAATAGAGATAATAACTTCCTAAATTACATTGATCGTCTACTAAAAGTATCTCATATTCCAATTCATTACCAAGTTCAGTTTAGTAAAAGGTCAGCCCCAGAACTGATACAAGAGACAAAAAAAGAGTCCAGTTAGCATAATTTCAGGATGTCAGTGCCACATACTCGCATGGTAAAAAGTGATAATTAGAAATACAGAATGACAATTTCCAATGGTCATTTCCCAATCTGAGACATTCTGAACCTGATTGTTTTCCACTTGGAAAGAGAAACATGCCATCTCAATGAAAGCCTAGTGTAAGGGGGTGACCAACACACTTGAGAGAAGAAAAGTTATGGTTGTTCTCACAACTTGACAGTGATAAAACTCATACACACATACTTTACTGGTAACACACATTCTAGTTCTTTGAAAACTGACAACAGTAGAATCTCTGGTACATTCGAGAGTAACAAGCATTTAACAATATACAAGATTTTGAGGAGATAATAGGATTTTCAAATGTGTGTTCATCGGTCTACTGGGAAACTAGTGCACAGACTCCTCAGTACAACCCTGTGGGAACACATGGTGTTTGTCTAAAGAGGCCAAGATCAAGAGTTAACCAGATCTTTGATTCTGAGAGAGTTTTCCTCCATCCACCTAGCACTCCTCCTGTCTGTCTTTTCTATGTTCCTACCCTTGACTCCTGTTTGTTTACCCCAACATATTTCGTCTACATTATCTAGATATATCTCTTTCAACTTTCTATTTCACTATAAAAATAGACTCGAATGCTTGTTTACATGTGAAATAAAAGCAGATATTCCAGGAGAATTAGGTGAGTGAAGAATACTGGTAAAAAGTCTTTTTGACCACACAGCTCCAGAGACAGCAATAATTATCAGTGGACTCTCATAACTGTTATAATCAGAACAATATATTATCCTGTTATAATTAGAATAGTCTGATACAATTTGCAATAGAATTACCAAGTGAACTAGCTTGATATGCTGACCTTAACCTTGATCACGAGAGTCAAAATTACTGGGATGATTGTCTAGACCTGTAAACAGACAGATTTGGGTGGATAGTTACACACTTTCTCTTTCACCATATAACTTCAAGCTCAAACATGTCCTTCCTAACAATGTTCGTGCTTGAGTTTTTTTAGGATATCTATGAACAAATGTGTCTCTGTTGAGTTGCTCTTGACAGTGAGTAAGGAAAGTCAGATTAGGAATGGGGAAAGGATAGGGGTGGACAACAAAGGACAGCTCATGCTTTCAAGGCACCTATACATATTTTACACTCATATGCAGCCATGTTGCTAAACAGTAAGACAAAAAGAACGTTCATGCAGGGCATGGTAGCTGTCAACTCAATGGAAACATGTCATGTTTTTAAGTGAGTTTTAACTTTCAGTGTTAAGTTACTGAATACTGACTATTGCCAACATTTATAGTGACTTTAGAACACAGAGTGATGGATAGAAAATCAATCATTTATTTGACTCCTTCTAGGGAGCTAATTCCACAGTGTACATTTGATCCATGGCTATAGTGATTCAAGGAACCAGTTATTTATTAAATCTCTATTAAAACTGAGGTAGGATGAAAAAATGATTGTCGAGAGTTTGATCTTTGTTCTTTGAAAGAATGGGATAATGGAGGGGAGGTAAGAAGATGTGTAAAATCAAGAGATAGCTTTAGAAGTCAGGGCCCACTGGGATGCTGTATTAGCTGTAGACACAGTGGGCTTTCCTTTCCCCAAACTAAACTAAAGGAACTAAGCAATAATGCAAATATTTAAAAAAAAAGATTTATTTGAATTGCACCATGTGATTTTCCCCCTACATCACATATAGAGTCCTAACTCTATTTTACTCAGGTCAGTACTGGTTAGGTCTGTTTTATCTGAATCTATACCTACTTAACAGTCAAACTACATGTTTGGGAACATGAATTGAGGGTAGGAAAGGATACCCTCATGTTTAACTTTTGCCCCAAACAGCTTACATGTGGGTTCATCAGAAGTAACAGGACTTAACTTGTGGGAACAGTCTAGATTGTTCTTCCTACCCACTGTCAACACACACACACACAGTGTGAGTGTGTGTGTGTGTGTGTGTGTGTGTGTGTGTGTGTGTGTGTGTGTGTGTGAAAACTCCTTTATTCCTTTATGCTCAGTAGCAGGTATGCTTGGCCTTTCTACTAACATGAGGACTTCTGCAAGAGGCATGAGATATGCTGACAACATCAGACAACAGCAGCAATGGAACTCTGGCAGGAGACCCGTCAGATTTAACTGATGGCCTGTCTTTTCCAAAGTATATTCCAAAGTATATTTTGTAGGCTCTGTCCTTTAAGGCTTCAGTCTCTTTTTTCTTTGCATCCTGGCTCTGTGGTGGATGCCCATCTTGCTGACAAACCATAGGAGCTATGATTGTAAAATGCTTCAGGACATCACATGTTCATTGTGAGGTTGATGCCACCTACCCGCTAAAATGGATGGTTTCCGTGTCACTACTGACACACTAACACTCCAGAGTATATACTGACTACACTTCTTTACTGCTTGAGGTACTTGTCTGAATTCCTCGGTGTGAAAATTATTTCCACAAGGTGTCTGTCCTCGTTTGGGTGCAAGGACAAGTCATTTTTTTTCGGTATGTTTTCAATACATCTTTTTTGCAATGTCTTCACATGGAATCGCTTCAAAAGTGTAACCAGAATGACTTTCATCATCACCATGGCGATGTACTTCCCAGCACAGCTGCGGGGCCCGAAGCCAAATGGCTGAAAATACCTGTAGGGAACCTATGGAAATGATCACATGATTAGGCAGGGTCATGCAACCATCTTTCTCTGATTTGCTCTCAAAACACTTGTCAGTCAGAATGCCTTGGCTTGACTTCAGCCATACTGCTTCCTCCCTGAGATAAACAGCCGTGGCTAAAGAAGCACCCTTCTCACCCACTGTGCCTCTCTTGTGACACAGATAGTCCCTGCTTTTGCTTCACATGTCAATGAGCTGGGGCAAGGCAGGGCAAATCACCATCTGGGCAGTGCTAGCTATTCAGAAATTCTGCACAACAATTTCAGCTTTCCTAGTGCTGTGAGAGCTGCTAAGACAAAGTTTGTTTTTTTGTGTGACTTCATATAATGGATAAAAAGAAGATGAAAGATGTGGATTTCCAGACTGTTAGTGTCAAGCTTCTTGTGCGTGTGAGAGAGGAGGGATCTCCGTGGCCTGGGCTGGCTCCAGAGTCCTGGTGATCTTGCCTCTACCTCAGAGTGCTAGGATTCCGGGAACATGTCACTACACCAGGTTTTCTAACTACTTTTAGTTACTGTAAAAATTAATGTGAAACATGTCTGTCTGTCTGTCTTGTCCAATATGGATTTGCATGACTTCAATATACAAGAATTAAAAAAATACATAAAAGTTATTGACTAGTTGAGAAGACATTATCTGGATTGCCTGTCTAGAAGCACTAATTAGAGTGTTGGATCAACCTTGGGTCCCTGTGCTACATGCACATAGGGAAAGAGGAGATAAAGGGGAGTATTTGGAAAATCTTATCTTAATAAAATTGTTTTGATGTAATGGAAGCAAAATTCTCTCCTATATACCAGTTATATAAAGAAAAAGGCTGATTCTTTTAATCATTGAGTTTTATTTGGAGGAAGATCCACTGCTTGAGGCCATTTGGTAGAATAAAGGCAGTGATACAACCAAATCTTATTTGATTTCTCTCTAAAGCAGAAATGGCTTTACTTTGCTTAGTTGCTGGAACATTGGAATCTAGATGATGCTAAAGTGGTGCATTTATTGTTTTTTTTCTTTTACTATATTATAGAAAAAGTGATAAATTCAGGGCCAGAGAGATGGCTCAGTGGTTCAGAGCACTGATTGCTTTTCCAGAGAACCCAGGTTCAGTTCCAAGTACCCACATGGTGATTCACAAACATCCATCACTCCAGTTCCAGGAGATGTGACTCCCTCTTCTGAACTCTGTGTGTACCAGGCACACACATGGTATACTTACATACAAGCAGGCCAAACATTCATACACATAAAAAGTTTAAAAAAAATGATAAGTTTGAATGGAAGAGATCGGTGGCCTTAAATAAATCTTTGCCAAATTAAGGATTTTTCATATTTTGCTTTCCTGGGTAACAACTTTACAAACATTTTACACACAGAGAGAGCCAATAGCTTTGGTTGAGGATGAAAGTGTTCTAAGCTATAGGACCCAGGTACTCCCATGAAGTAGTAGAAGGGTGGGTCAAGAAAGCTAAGTACATCTGGAGCAAGCAAAGGACTAGAGCGGGTCTGACTGCGCCACCAGAGACAACATGATCAGGTGTAAGGAGGAGCTCTTACGTTCTTCTCAAAGTTTTCCAGGGTAAATTCATTAGGCTTGGGGAAATACTCCAGTCTGTGCATTCTTCCAATATTCAGAATGATGTTCGTTCCCTTTTTGACTGGGTAGCCATCAATCACATCATCATCCAGGGCTCTACGCATAACCAAGTCCACAACAGGCTGGTACCGCATGCTTTCATTGATGAAGTTTTCTACCACTTTTAAATTTTGGATATCGTCAATCTGTATGTCTCTGTCACCTGTGGGATAGATTAAAAAGGACAAAGAGAGCAATGTCAGTTAGTGACAAGCACTAAAGCTCTTCTCTTTTTTTTCCCCATAGGAAAACAAATGCTTGCAATTCTAGTGCATACAGATGTTCTGGAAACAAATGTGCTATATCTGGTCTGCAAAGGGCTTTATCAAAGTTCAGATGTGAAACCATTTCTGGAAACTTCGTAACAACAACGAAAAAGATTTCTTGAAAGCATCTGAGAATTTGCTCATGCTGGACCCTCATCCCCACCTGCAGACAATGGGCAGAAGAATGGGGGATGGGCAGCCACCTCTCCACAGGGGACATGCATTCTCCAGTTCCACAACAGCCAGCATCTCATACCCCTCTTATCTGCAGGTCTTTGAGTTTTCCATCTACTCCATGTTCTAGGGACTACTTTATTTGTCTCTTAATACGTGAATCAACTAGCACAATAACCATCCCAAACAAGGGTGCACAGGCTGCTGCAGAGTCAGAAAGACCATGGACCGAGTCTGTTTTATAATACTCACTTCTTAGTCATTTGTACTAAGTCATTTGTACTTAGTCACATGTGTCACTGACAGGCCCTCCACATCTGACCACAAACAAATTGTTCCTGGAAAATGGCTTATTACGCCCCATCATGAAAAGTCAGCATCTCACCTAGCCCTGGGTGTGGCTGAGGATAACGGGTGCTGCCACTGTCTCAGGCTGGCCTGACATTGGTCAAAGTGGCTTAGATTTGCCCCAGATATGGCAAGGTTTCCAAGTCCCCTCAAATGAGCCACCACTTTTACAGAATCAAAGCATCCTTGGGTCCCGAGGTGTCCCTGTCTCCTGTAAATCCAAGCCATGTAGGAAGGTCTAGTTCAGTCAGAAAAGTATAGGAAGAGAGCCTGTGTCTTAGGTACTGTGCTCTGTAACTGAGAACCCAACTAGAGAGTAGAGGCAGAGGGAAGATGACAGAGGTTTCTGAAAATAGTTGCTGGGAATTCTGTGTGTGGACCACAAGAGGGAGCATGGATGTTGCGACATGCTCTGCCGCTTCTCCCTCTTTGCAGAGTCTGATGGAGAGACAGGGAGACACTAAGAGGCACAAACACATCTCACGCTCAAGGAACTTGTGTTAGACGTCTGATAAAGGTGCACTCTCAAAACATCAGTTTCCCCTCCTGCATCATCCTCCAGTGCCCTCTCTCTCCAGTCCATTACAACTTTCTCTTTCTCCCACCAGCCTACAAGTCAAGCCAACCCAGTAATGTTGTGACCTTGCCCTCTGCACAGACCTTGAAGACCTCTCGGGGTAACATTGAGAAAGCATTCTGGAATCTGGGGCAATGTTATCCTGTCTCCTTGTTCTCCCCGTTTCCCATGCATTTACAGAACCCTTCTGTCATACATTTAAACTAATTACAGCTTTTCCTTAGTATCAACTGTTTCAAACAGCCCTAAAATCGCCTTTTCAAGGTGGTGCAGTTCCACGACCAATAACTTCTTTCACCAGCACTGTGGAAAGCCAGAAAAGTCCTCCTTGTACTATGTCTTCTCCTATCTGTAAGTAATGTGTTCGTAAACAGATCACCCAGGTGAAGGCAATTCCTGGTAAGTCTTTGCCTTCTCCCAGAAAACAGTTCTGATTTTGTGTTTCTAAAGCACAGTGGGGACAGGATGGTGCTGAGACAGAGCCCTGAAAATGGGGTTGGAAGAACTGAATGTGGCCCAGGGGGCTTCTCTGCAGAGGGGGTGAGTGGGGAGAAAAGGGCCACCATCGCCGGATTGAAGTGGAGAAGGAAGCCCATCGCTTAGCCTCTGCTACCACCCTGTCCTCCTCCTGCCACCAAGTGAAACCCACAGACACTACTTCTGTAAGCAATAGATAGTCATTTTTCCTAGCTGAAGTCACTAAAAAAAAGATTTATGTAACCCACGAGGTGGGTAGATCATATACTCAAGTTCTCCAGCTGTGGATTCAAATAACAGCATTAAATATATTTTATTGTGTTTGTGTTGAACACGCGCATCCTTTATTTTGTAGTCACTCTCCAGATAATACAATATCATAACTATTTATATAGCATTATATTGCATTAGGTATTATAAACAATGGAGAGGTGACTTTGTGGGAGGTTGTAAGTAGGTTATATGCAAGTACTATATAGTATGATTTTCCTAAGATGGACAAACTTGACCATGTGTCTGTGTGTACATGGAATAAGGTCTCAAGCTGGAGAGATGGCTAAACAGGCAAATGTTTGTCACCAAGTCTTTGATCCCCAGAACTCAGATGGGAGAAGGAGAGAACTGACTCCCACAAGTTGTCCTCTGACTTCCACATTCAAGTGTGCGCACACACGCTCTCTTCCCCCCACCACCACCACACACACACACATGCACACACGCACAATAAAAAGTTCTTGAGGAAAAGTAGAAGAGGGGGGTGAGGATGAGGCTCTAAATGAAAAGAATTAGGACATTGGCTTTCTGCTTTATGTATTGCTCTGGTGCTTGAATTTTTCAATAAGCACACATTGCTCTATGATTTATACAACATATAAATAGAAGGCACTGTCATTTTTACCTACTCAGCATAGCCAAGATGTGGCAGAATTACTTTATTTTACTTTTATTTTACGTTTGCTATCAGATTCTTAAGATGTAAGATGCTACCGGCATTCACATTCAGAAGGGAATTTTTAAAACACTACTATTTAGCCGGGCATTGGTGGTGCACGCCTTTAATCCCAGCACTCGGGAGGCAGAGGAAGGCAGATCTCTGAGTTCGAGGCCAGCCTGGTCTCCAGAGCGAGTGCCAGGATAGGCTCCAAAGCTACACAGAGAAACCCTGTCTCAAAAAACAAAAACAAAAACAAACAAAAAAACCACTACTATTTATTTGATCATTGCTCACCAACAACAGTGTGGATTTCCTTCACTATTGCCTTTTCAACCTCAGGGTACTCTGCAATGAGAAGTAACATGAAGTACAGAGTGACAGACATGGTGTCAGGTGCTGCGATCAGCATTTCCAATATACACTGGTTCACGTTCTCTTTTGTCAGGTCTCCACGCCTCTGAAGAGTTGAAAAGAGGAGAAAATGTTGGAAGATGGAATCGAAGTTTCAGAAAATGAGAGGAGGTGACACTCAAGCATCAACAATCTTAAGAAAATGAAACTGCAGGTCTCTTTAATTAGTGCCAACATTTTACATATTGACATTCTTCTTAAAGATACACAAATAGCCTAATTACCTGTGTGCCATTGACCCTCCGTATACTTGAGTTCCACATTCAAGGGTTAACTAACTGGGCATCACATATATTTTGTTGTGTTTTTATTACATGGATACAGACTTTTTTGTAGTTATTCTATAAATAATACAACATCATAACTATTAGTACAATGTTATACTGTATTAGGTATTATAAACAATCCAGAGGTGAGTGAACCCCCGTGGAAGGACTTAAGTATATGCAAGCACTGTGACATTACAGAGATAAGGTTTAAACATTCCTGTATTTTGGTATCTGGGAAGAGTTCTGGAGTAAAAATTCCAGATATTGAGGGATGCTTTTATTTAGTGTCTTAGGTCTCCTCTTCCTGGTTTCATATATTGTATTATAATACATGAATTTGACTGATAAATGTCATAAAATGGAGGGTGTTTAGGCTATTTGGTGGACTATCATAAGACTGCTTGCTAGAGAGACTTTAAAAAATCATGCTACAGTTCTAAAAAGGATTCTTTAAATTATGGTATGCCGTATCATAATATATATCAGATGAGGAATTGTGGTTCATTCAGGTCAAATACCTCAGCAAAAATCAAATCAGTTGCAAAATCCATACAGTCTTCCAGTTTCTCTGCTGTGGAAATCTTGTGTCTTTTTTCTTCTACCAAAGCAGCTATCTCATCTTTCAAGTCCTTGCTGGGGGAAAAACGTCAAAAATTTCTCAGTTTAGACATCCTGCAAAACAGATTCTGCTCACTTTAAAGCCATTGGCACTCGTGAGTAAATGCATTTCTGTTTTATTTCTTCACAAATATACGTAAAGTTACACGAAGCATTCATCTGACGGTACCAGAGTTAACTGAGATTTCTAAACACTGGTAATCATCTCAAAACTGTGACTTTAATTCTCTGTTTCCTCTTATCTAGATATGTAGAAAGCTCTGGCAAGTGTCCATGCTAGGGTTCCCCAGGCTTTTCTGTCAACTCAAAATATACCACAGTGCCCTTGTTCCAGAGAGCCCTGGGCAGAGCATCCTCTTGGCCAAAGCCTTTCTTTACTCTTTAGTCTGTGCCAGGGCAGCCAAACTGTTATGGATGCTTCACAAGTCGCTTGACCAACATGTCCCTCTGCACTCTGGGGAGCATCACACATACCCAAGTGGCTAACAGCAGCCATGAACAGTGCAGTGTGACTGTGTCTGTAAACCCCCCAAACTTGGGCTACTTACGCAGATCTTTCATATTTTCTGTACAGCCAAGAAATCTTAAAGAAGATGTTTGGTTTGATGAGGAGAGCTTGCCATGCATTAAAATAACCCTGGATTTTTTTCACAATGGAACTTTCTGTGAAACAAAAACAAGAACAAATTCACGGAGAGAAATATGAGCCTGTGAGCAATACGCTGGACAAATTCTTTTGCCAGTCTCTGGCCACTGGTGGATGATCTAGTTATATAATGCTACAAGGCAAATTTGTTATTAAGTTATCTACTTGGCATCTAAATTGCCTGAGTTAACCATAGAATTGCCAGTTTCCAAGTTTGTGCTTGAGACTATGGTCTAGGCTCTCAAATCCCCTTTCAGTTGGGCTTTCCCACTAGCTCTGACTTTTCTGGACAAGGGAGTAGTCATTAGAGTTATTGCATCCCTGCTCCTGGAACGTGGAAGGGTGTTGTTTGGACAAGTGAGATGGCTTGGGGGTGAAGGTTTCTAATTCAATTCCTGGAACCCACATAAGGGTGGGAGGAGAAAAACAGCTCCAGAGTTGTCCCCTGACCTCCACAGGTGCACAGTAGTAGCACGTGTGCCACCCCCTCTGGCATTAATGATAACAGTGACATTAATTTTAAAAACCCAAGCCTGTTGTGCCACTAACACAGTCCAGCTGATTTTGGAGTTAGCTGACACATTAAGTGAACCACGCACATATTTGGATTATCCACCTAATTAACAGTTCCTCACTTCTCAGTGCTAAGTTCATTTTATAGCACTCTTCACATGGCCTTCATACTTATCTATATTTGTCTCAAAGTGCTGAGTTCATTTCAGTTTCTCCAGTGCATTGTCCTGAGCCTCGTGCATTGTTAATTACAGATATACGATAACGAGTTAAATTGAATACTAAAGAAAAAGAAAGTCCTTGCTTATTTTTTTTTCATATTACACCAGACCTATATACAAATGGGAAAAGAATCAACATTTGTTTTCAATGGCCAAAATGCCAATCACTTCTAGGTTGGCTTTACAGAGCTTTTGAACTTAATCCTTATAGTCTTGCCAGGGGAGTGGCAGATTAGCCTTTGTTTTACAAATAAAGAAGTACAAAGCATGGAAATTAAGGATGCAACCCATATGACTCGCAGGACAGCGTGGGAGTTTAACTAGCGCCCAGTGTAAAGGGAAACAAAGGTAACCCACTTGGGCTAGCTGGTTGTTGTGGCACAGTCTGGACCCCGTCGTTGATTAATGGAGAGATCTACAGTTCCCTTGGCACAACCCTTTCCTAACAATCCAGGCCTGGGGGAACCCAAGGAACGGGGTGGGATCAGCAAGTCTCTAGCTAACTTCAGCAGAAATGAATACAGAAAGGCTGGAGCAGATCAGGTGAGAGGTGACACAAAAACTTCCCAAAGTAAATGCATAGTTAGATGAAGTCTCTATAGCCCTCGTGAAGAGCAGTGGACTAGAGAAGATAATCTGGGAGGAGAAAGACAGGGCTCAGAGCTGATCTTGTTCAGAGGTAGTAAGTCAGGTAACACGTGGATGCCTCAGAAGGGTTTCCATAAAACCTAGAGCATAGGCATCATTGCCCCAATTGTTTTTCTTTCAGCTTTGCACATGGCTGTGACATCACCTTGTTCAGGCCGTGTTTAAATGTCCTCTGTGAAGAGATCTTTCCTTACCACTCAGCTCCATAATGACCATGACCACACTGCTACCCATCTCAATCCCTTTTACTCTGATTTGGTTTTTGTCTCAAGGCACTTATTATTGCCTAATATGTAACCTGACATTTAATTGTTTTCCTATCCTATACCCCCACTGCAATATAAGCTCCTCAAGGGAGAAAAATGTACTCATCATTCTGGCTCTCCTCCAAGGAATTGAGTGAATGGACGAACCAATGAACATGGCTATAAATTAATTTAGAAAAGTCCCATACTAATGTCAACAGCAGAAAGGGATTTATCCTAATAACTGTTTGCTTTGGGGTAGTGGTAGTTATGTGTACCTTTTAAAATATTCATCTTTTCTAGCTTAGTGGAGAAGGTGAGATGTCAGGTTGGTATAGATATTAGATGGTGGACATGTACTTAAAGAATCTTTCATATTGTTTGGTATATACATGCTAAATTACTGGCAGCTGTTATCATCATTGCTGTCACTATCAGCACCGTTGTTACCTCATGTTGTCAAGTACAGCCAAGTTCTCATATAGAGTAGCCTTGAGAGGAGTATGTACACATATAAATAAATAGGTGTGTGTGTGTGTGTGTGTGTGTGTGTGTGTGTGTGCGTGCGCGCGCACGCGCGCGCGCGTGTGTGCGATGCCCAAAAGAATGATTAGAAATGGTTAAGTATATCCAATTTCCAGTGCTATGTTAATGACCGCACTAACTGATAATCTTTGCCTACAGTAGAATGTTCCGTCCTACAGCAGCACAGGAGACACATAAGAAATGGAGGTTGACCTCTACAACTGGACGTGTTTAACCTATAAATGAACAGGCAGAAACACTAGAAGGGCTTCCTTAACCAAGAGCAATGTACAAAGTAGCGCTTTGCTTCAATGTGTTGTCCCCACACGGCCTATTTAAAAAGGGGCAGAATGCATGAGAATTAAAAATCCAGTACCATCCAGGGGGATCCCCAAGAAGAGCATGTTAGAGGCGTCCAGCATGATGTGCCTCATGAGTGTCAACACGTCCACGTAGCCTGAGTTGTCAGTAACTTCATCCAGCCTGTCCAAATGCTGCTTGATGGACTCCTCACAAACTTTTACCATCCGAACAAGGCCGGGGCCTGTCAGAGCTGAAGCACAGAGAGTTGGCCATCATAACACCAGGACACTCACAGACAGCTTACTTTTGCCCTTTTATATCAGGAATAATTGTCTGCAACTTTGCATTCAATAACAGGGTGGGAGTTTTCATAATCTTCCCCATACTTTCTTATGTTACCCTGGTTGTCTATAACAAGTGCTTACCTTTTTAACTAAAAATGAGTGAATATTACTTTTAAAAGATGGTTCAAATTCAATCCTTTCTTTAAGACCTAGTTAAACATTTATGAGACTGAAGGTAAAATAGTAATTTTTCTGGGTACAATAACCAACAGTGGGTTTTTGTTTTTGTTTTTGTTTTACATTTACTGTACATATTTCCCTTGAGACGATGGTTTGGATTTGATCAGGGTCACATTTCTTTTTACATTTGAGCACGTGCAAGGATATCAATACAGGACCAGTGAAATCGGTCCTCAGTCATGTCACCTCAGATGCTTTCTAGTTAGCACAGATGGGCAAGGCCAGTCTTAGAAATACTGAACGTGTGTGTGCCTTGCTCTTACTCTTAGCCTCTCTTCAGATTACCTCCAGATTCATCTCATCCAGCAATGGCAGGCAGAGCAATTGTCATTTGCTTTGCAGGCTTCAGTGACTGGGAAACTCCTAAAAGGGTAACAACTATTTACTAGCATTGTACTTCAGCCAATCGTGCATGAGGGCCCTTGACACGTATTTGTCAAATAAATGAATGAGTGAATGGATGGACAAATGAATGGATGAATGGATGGATGAATGAATGAATGAATGAATGAATATAGGTAGAGTGACTTGACTCTGCCCTCCCCTTTGCTCTGCTCCTGACTATCTGGGGTGTTGGCTATAGTAGCTCATCATGGTATGTTTCTTTAAGTTTCCCTAAGGACTATTCTCTATTTTTGTGTCTTTTGTTATTCAGACTTGTTGATAAAGGTCTTCAAATGGCATGGGAAATGTTCGGGTACCTTGAAGGCAATCATTCTCTGAATCAGGAGATCGTTCTCTCATAAAGGTATCATATGTCTCTCTGAAACATATATCAGAAAACTTAGCAAACAAGAAGGGAAGCTTGCCAGCAGAGTGCCTCACACCAACAATCCCAGCACTCTGGGGCCCGTGGCAGAAGGATTCTTAGAAGTTCAAGGCCAGTTTGGGCCCCATAGTGAGTTTCAGGTCAGCATAGGCTACAGAGTAAGATCTTGTCAAGAAAGAATGTGCCAGATGTTGGGAGTTGGGGGTGGGGTATGGGGAGGGGAGGAAACGGAAGGGGAAAAAGGAGTAGCAGAGAGTTGGAGAGACCAGCCTAAGGACACACTAAAGATTCCCAAATGTGTTAAAGAAGGCTGAGGTAGGAGCCCTCTCCAAGTGGTAGGAAGGACCTACCTGGGCGTTCTCTGTCCTCTGGGTAATGGTCATGTTCAAGAGTGGGACAAATCCTTCTGTAGTGACTCTGCCCTTGGTATGGAAGGGGTGGCTCCACATGTCACCCACAGTTTCCTTCTAGGTGAGTGTGGGATTTGCCTCTGTGGCCAGGAGCTTGAAGCCATATTTCACAGACCAGCAGAATGCAATATGATTGCTATAGGAATTGGTGTATGCGGATATGGTTTAATGTTTAAATGTACTTAAAAGTATTTTTATCTTGGCCAAAAGAAGATTCAGCAAGTAATCAAACATCATCAATAAATAGCTCTTTTGGCAGTTTCTGGACACAACTTCTCTATACTCCTACTTACCTCTCTCCCATCTCCCAGGATGAACCATTCCTCAGCTGTGTTTACCTGCTTCTGCACACCCCCAATAGATTAATACTTCATAATGTTACTGACTTGGACTCCAAAATGTGTCCCAGTTTTTCCCAGGAAAACTAAAGGACTCTAACTCCGAAAGGAGAGTCATCGAGCTGCTTAGGACTCTCATTAATTATAAAAATGTCAGGCACTCCAGTGTACTTTTTAGTAAGTAATTGGCTTACCATTTGTGGGATTTAATTGGAGTCTAATTTTATAACACTTTATTAGAAAATCCAATCTTACATATACAGGGCTTATCTAAAATATTTACAAAGATGTGTTGACAAATCTCCAAGTTCTCTTAAAATGTTCCTCTTTTAACAGTTCTTGTCCCATGACCTCTCCTCCATCTGTCCCTTGTCACTGCAATAACCCCCCCCACCTGTTTTCATTGTTCATAGTTGTATTTTGTTCTCATTAAACTTTTGTCTGCTATCAGAGGAACTTTTCTAAAACACACACACAAATGCTCATATCATTTTCCTTAACTGAATCCTTTTAACTCTTGAGATATGCGCAAGTCCTTGACTTAATAAGAAGCGTCTTGAGTGACTTGGACCTGCCTTTCCCTTGAGCTAATGTTTGTCCTTGGAGTGTTCCTGGATATGTCATGATGATCTATCTATCTTTCTCTGCTGTCAAATATCACACCCTTTGCTCCTACAGTGTCTTTCTTTGTTCCACTTTCTTAGTTATATTTTACTTCATTCAAAATTCAACATAAGCTTCCACTGTCCTGGACTGTCTTTCCTGGGCCCTTAGTGGCTTTAGGTAGCCTGCATGTTCGTTCTCTGAAATCTGATGCAACCTCTCCTAGACATTATTTGATGATATGCAGGCCCACCTTAACCAGTCTTCCCATTACATGGTCCTCAAGGGCAGGATCAAGTCTTGCTTATTATTGTATTATTGATGTCTAATTCAATAATGAGAACAATAGTTTCTTAAATGAACAGATGAATTTGGAGATTCTATTAATTCTTGAATTAATTCTTAAATGTGAAAGTTAACCACTAAATGCTAATTGACATATTCCTAGTAAACCTGGGTCAAATGACAAAGTGAAATACAATTTATGTTTCTATGAAGTCAGGCATGTTTTATTTGTTCTTTTCAACAGCTCAAGTCTCAGTTTTGTAATATTCATCGATTTCTGTGTACAAAGAAATAAATCACACAGATACTGAGTGACTTGACTGAAGTCCTCCTAGGAAGAGTAAGTGGCAGTGTTGGGACTTGAACCTACTATAATCCTGAGATATGTACTTTTCCACTTATCCAGTGTCAGTCTTGTAGGGCATAGGGAATTTGATCTGCTTCAACACAGTGGCACACACAAAAAATACTCTCCAAAGTTGTCTAGTCTCCTAATCCCAAATGATTTAAGTGTGTGTCCTCAAGAAAAGGATATTATAGTGTGTCATCATGGTAAGCCCAAATGAACTCCAAGAGTCATTAATGAGGAAACTTTCCCATCTTAGGTCATAAGCTAAGGTGGGGCAGAGATATGCAGTGCAAGGAAGACTGGACCTGTCCCAGCAGACAAAGAATGAAGGTGAGCTCCAGAACCTGGAAGAGTTAAGATCAATGGTGCCTCCCATCCACAGGCTTGTCATTGCCTGCTGAGACCCGTGCCAGACTTCTGACCTGCAGAATTTTAAGATAGCAAGCATGCCATTCATCCCAAGCTGTCTAGTGTATTACAGCAGCCAGAGGAAGCAAGAATGCTGTGTCTATAGCAGTGTGGCTAGAGACCTATAGAGCCTGCATGGGAAGAAGAATTTTGATGGTACACGGTCATACCTAGACTCCATGTAGCTGGACAAGATTGCCAAGGCATGGCTGTCTTTCCTAATGCTTGATTTAGTGTCAAAAATTGGTCTTGTGTAGGCCTCAACAGCTTCATTTTCAGAATGATATGGTAAGGGGTAGGTGCCAGGGAAAGAGGCTTGGCATTGAGTCTCTTCTCACCTCTGACTTGCTTGGCTGGTGTGTATCTCAACTCTTCTAGATATCATTTCTTCGACCATAAAACCCGGAGGCTGGATGAAGCAACATATAGAGTCTTTCCCTGTGTTAAGATTCTCTCACTGTTCTCTCTTAAAGTCTCTGGCCTGTCACACAGTGGATCTGCCAATGTATTGTTTAGTCATGCTTAGATCAAATATTGAGTTAAAACACTAAATCCCTAGTTGAAATGACCCTAAGTAGGCAGGTCCATCTCTTCAGTTTGTTGTGGCTACAATCATAGACTCTGGGGTGTTCTGGGGGCTAACATTTACTAATGTTGAAATCTTGGGCGAGTATCTTAACCTGTTTGAAACTTAAGTTTTCTCGTCCATAAAATGCAGGTGATAGGAAGTTTCACCATGTGAGGTTGCTGTGGAATTAAAATGTCAAGTGTTTAGGATGATGTTTGATGCATAAGCAAAGGTATCAAGAAACCTATCAGTATTATTTCAAAATACGTGGCAGCAAAATTTAAATCATATTTTTAAAAAAGAAGTATATTCATAGACCTCATATTCCCATTTACCTTTCATAAAGAAAGGGCGAATTGTTTTCCAAAGGTCTGGGTTATTGTTAAATATGATGCCATTCTCATGCATTCCAACGCACTGCAGTCCACGTTTGCTGCCAAATCTGGAGATATAGTTACTGTGTTTCATTACATGGAACATACTTGAGGACCTGTAAAGAAGGCAAATCTTGGGGTTAATCCAACATGGAAGGGGAGTTATGGCAGTTCACTCTGACTATCTGGTGGCTTTCTTAACAGAAGCATGTTGATCCAAAAGCAAAGTATGATTTCTAGTATTCAGGTTGAATAAGCATGTCAGGTAGCATGAGAACAAACGCCCTTGTTCAATTAAACCATCTCCGCTTTCTGATCCCTTAGGGATCTCTGTAGGGAGAGGGTGAGTGGGAGAGTGGAGTCCTGAGTGAATGTGTGCTTTTGACAAGGTCACTGCCATGTTGACAATCAGAAGGAGATGGCAGAGCCTTCCCTTCTGGTCCAAGTGTGGATGTTGACAGTGCATGCAGAAAGCATCCACTGTCACGTTCTCCCCCTGGAGATTTACAGCCTGAAGACTGCTTCCCTCCAGAGACAGCGCCTACTAAGGTTCACCTGTATACCATAAACCCCACCTCCTTGTTATCTGTATGCCACAGCCCCAGTCATTATTCGGCTGTATGCAATGACCCTGCTTCCCCACTCAACCCTACATAATAAACTTGCTGAATTTAGGGGATGAGGGCGACGTCTGCAGCTTATCCCACTGGAATTAATAAAAATGAGAAAAACAACCTATATAATAATAGCAATGCTAAGAAATAACTTACTTAGTTGACATCTATTTCAGAAAAAAAACTTAAAATAAAAACTATCAAATCAAAGTCCCAATTTAATTCCCAATATTATTCATAAAACAACTCAAGTTTTTCTTTCTAACAACAAAAACAAAATTCAGATGATTTAAATTGAATACCAACAAATCAATCTGGCATTTCAAATTTTACTTAGGTAGAACTATCGTTCTATAAAACGGACAGAAATTATTAATAATTAAAATAAGACCTATAGCTTTTCTTACCCTTTCCTAACTTACACTACAAGTAAAGAAGAACATATTTTTACATTCTTTGTTCACAACCTTGTATCTAAAGATTTTTCAGTACTTGAGGGATTGGCGGAGCATCGTTTTTTTTTTTTTTCTGCCCTGGTTCCAGGGATTCTGTGCACCACTTTGGTCTTATAGGACCCTGCTGAATGTTAGCTACCGCTTAAAATCTGTGTGTCCCTTAGGGGGCGCTATTGCCCCAGTTATTTCCAGTCTGAAATTCTGCCGAGAGAAACCATCAAGGAAATATGTCCAGTCACAGAAAAGAAGTTTACAAGGAGGACATTTATCAAAGTGAGACAGAGTTTATAAAACAGAGTAAATTGGATGGTGAAGGAGAAAGGACTGTTGAAGGACAAGAGGCCACAGCCCACACTCCTCCTGGCTATCACAGGGACCTGACCCTGATGTGAGCCCTAGCAGTAATCCAGGCTGAAGGAAATGGCCTGTGGGGGAGAGTGAGGATTTGCCAGCAGAGTCCCAAAGTTCAGAAGAGACAGTGAACAGTGTAACGCCACTGAGGACAGAAGTCATACCTCTAAACGTGATTGAAGTTTAGAAATCACCGCAATGGGCAGCCCCTCCCACCCCCAGTTTGGTATTTCTATTCTATCGCCATCATCCTTTCTCTCTCAATCTCTGTTGTGTTCAGAGATTTTCCTCAGGAAAGAGGAGCAATTAGAAGACAATCCCTGGGACCCGTGCTACGCGCTCAGCCTGTCTTCCTATTGCTGTAGTTGGAACGTTACGTCCTTATTCAAGGCCAGTCCCTCCAGCTGTCCCTGAGACATCTTCACATAGCGCCCCCTTTTCTCTTTCATTAGCAATTTCCCCTGTAGTTCACCATTCCCACCATAGCTCAGCTCACGGGAGCAGCGTGACCAGGTGCCCGGTTATCTCTCATCTTGCCTCTACCACACTTCCTTCCTTGCGTTCAGCTCCTTGGCCATCTTTGCTGTTCCTTGAGCAGGGCAGACCTGCTCCTGCCTCGCGGCCCCTGCTTCTGCTGTTCTTTCTGTAGGATGCACTTTTCTCCAGAGTTCTGCCTGGGTCACATCTTCACTTCAAGTCTTTTGAACAATGGATTTTATCTTTCCATTTTCATGTGTGTGTTTGCGTGTGTACCCATGTCTACATCTATACGTGTGTGGGTGTTACGTGGAAGCCTTTTGTTCATGCCGGGAACCATCTCTGACCAGTCTTCCGCCTTGTCCTTTGATGCATCTCTCCAGCCCTCCTTTTAAGTCTGTCAATGAGACCTCACCTGCCTTTAATTAAAAACTTCAGTCACAATTATATAAGCCTCCCCACAGCGAGCTCTCCCCAACCTCTTCCCCACTTCCCTTCCCTGCATAGTACATATCTACTTGGTTTCCTTGGGACTGTCTCAACTTTAGCATTAAAAGTCCCATAACTTCGGGCAAACTGAACAGTTGACCGTCATGTATACACTACATAATGACACTTCTGTCACAGATGGACTGCACAGTTGACAATGTGTCCTCTTGAGATTATGTCACCTAATTACCATGGTGACCATCTTATATAGTCTATGATGCTCATACAGTGACAAAATAGCCTCAGAATGTGTTTTCCAGACTGCACTTCTCAGAATGCATTTCCCAGAATGCATCCATTGTTAAGGAATGCATGATGCACTGACTATACAGCGCATTTCTCTTGTTTATTCACAGTGTACTAACAGTCTGTTGTCCCACGAGGGTAGGAACTTTGAGCTGTTTTTAATTCCCCAAATTTAACAGTGCTGTGTTCCTAGAGCAGAACCTGCTGTTTAGTATCTTCTCATTTATGGACGGAATAAAAAGCCAATTCTTCCTGTTAGTGTTAAACGTGGGACAAACGGCTGACTGAGATGCCTGTTTACCATACTGCTCCTGGGTATGCTGGAGGAGGGAGTTTATTGTAGATGTGAGGGAGAGCATAGACAGAGATGGAGTCATCTGCGAGAGTCCAGAGTGAGCATGGCCAGACTGAGCTGGGCCATGAGAGGAAAGGGGTGAAGTGGACAGGAGCTGTGGACCAGGAGACTGGCTAATAGGGTAATGGGTAGACCAAAAGAGCCAGGGAACCAAATGGCTGGTTTATACAGGGAAGGGAGAGCTGGGGAAAGGGCAGCCCAACTCCTGGGCAGGGAGTTCAGGGTAGGGGGCAGGGTATGCCAGCCATACCCTGTAACAGGTAGGGACTGAGGAATCCTGGGAGAACCAGGCAGCCAGGTCCACTTTGATATGTTAAAGAGGTACGTCAGTTAGCCATTTGTTCAGGGTTTGAGACCTAACCGTTAGTATATAAGCTCTTAATATAAATTGAATGAATTCCTTGTAAATTTACACATAATTAAGATAGGTGTGCAGATGAAACTTTTATTGGCATATTAAATGTTAATTATCCTTTATATATGTCAAGTAAATTATTCTATCTTTGTATTTCTGGACAAAAATGAATGTGCGCACACCTACTGGACACAGAGCATAGCATCTGTAGATGTGCAACAGAGCTGCCCAAGGGTGCTACGCTTTCTTTGCTGCAGGTTCCATAATCGCACACATCTCAGAGCCTTACCTCAGTCTCCAAGATCTCCAGGCAGCATGCACACAGCACCCCTCCTGACTGCCTCCCCTAAAATTCTGCAGCCTCTGATCCCCTGGGACAGGGCTGGTTGGAAAAGTTGGACTGCAGTCACCACACAGTTGTAATGACTCTACACCTCAAACTTTCCAAAAGGAAAAAAAAAATCTAGCGAACCATTGAAATCAAAACAGCAATCTTACTGAGGTCCAATGGGGGTTGTTTCAAGAGGTACAGGTAGTTCTGGAAAGGACTTGAAGAGCAGGCAAAGGAGGGAGATAGGGACAAACTCGTCTTATTCCAGAGGGGACCTCAGCCTTTAACAACAAAATGGAGGGCATGGAGGCAATTAAGGAGAACACAAAGACTCCAACAAGTGAAAGGCCTGAGGGAACATAACAAGAAATGAACTGGAGGAGCTGGGGGAAGGGCAGGCTCTGTGGCTGCTGGCCAGAGTCACTAAAGTTGCTTTCCTAGTGAAGAAGGGGTGGGTGGTCCTGACTGCGACAAGGACCCCACTTTAGGAATTGTACGTGGGCAGTATATCCAATGGATATGTTGGGTAGCCTAATTTTCTAAATGTCCACTCTCAGGGGGTGACTTTACCTAGTACTCTGTTCTCAATTCCATCATTTTCCATTTTAAATCTAGATATACCCCATCATCTTGGCTAGCCTCCAGGGTAATGCAGTGAGAAGAAGCATTCCAAAGCTGCTCAGCTATTTGCCCTAGTCCCGGAGAACTCTGGCCTCAGGAACAACCTTTTCCTTTTTTCCCGGTAGGAGTTTCCCAAGCTCCACAGCTGTCTGGAATCACCCAGGGATCATAAACAGTGAGGGTGTCTGTCCACACCCAGGCTTGATCTCAGAGCCCAAGAGCTAGGATTCCTACACATCCCTCCCTGGTTCGCCCTTGAGAGAACCGCTGACCAGGCAGATGTGCTAGATGTGCTTCCGAATAAATATCCCAAGACTTGCTTCACCTGATTACCAAGGGAAATGGGAAAGGAAGCCATGCTGAGTAGAGTAGAACTAGAAGGCTGGTCTCTGTGCTAAGGGTGAAAAAGCAGAAGTGACTATCCCAGTCCCTGAACCTAAATGGTATCAGTTACAAGACATTTTAAAGACAATAGCCATTTGAAAAAGTGACTAAAACACTTAAGACATAGTGAAAAATGTATCAAATTGGCTTGAATTAGGCTGGCCAGAGTGCAGTAGACCACGACACAGCAAATCAAGGTGTAATTGTGATCTGGTCATTGGAGCAATGCACCTGAACCATCTGAAAGCTTGTCAAAGCAGACCGTGGGGTCCTAGTCTGGATATTTATTTAGTAGGTCCTGGTGGAGTACAAGCATGTACATTTCTAACAAGTTCTGAGCTCTGTGGCTGTTGCTACTGAAGGAATTCTTCCAGGAAACTTCAGCGCTGGCCAACGAGGAGCCTGACACTTCCGCCCCTGGCTGCTCATGGCTGTGGAGATGTATGTGGTCTGCCTTCACTGTTCTTCAAAATGCTATAACATCAGACTGACTGAAACAAGAAAACCTCAGGCCAAAACTAAGGGATTGAATAGATCCAGAACCACGTTACTGGGTAGCCTGAAATATTTGGAATTATGGGATTTTTTTTTCCCTGTCCCCCTTTCGGTAGGTTTTAGCTTCGGTGGGAAAAGCTCTAATCAGAGGTTATAAATATTAAAGTATTTATGACATCGTGGTTGTAGTTAACTTTGCTAAAAAGTTAAGTTGAGATAGCTGGAAGTCTGGTGGGATGTGCTGTCTTTTAATTTCTCTATCCTCAGCAATCAATAGACGAGAAAACTAGTAAACAAGAAAGCAGTTCATTCTTAATAAGTCAACGAGTGTTTAGTTTGTCCTAGGAAGGATACAGTCCAGCAAAGTGTAACAGCGTGGGATGGAGGATTTCGGTTTTTAATGTGCACACTGATCTGGATTGATCAGGGGACAGCAGCCGGTGGCTTCTACCGTGCTGCTGCTGGCTGCCTTGTGTTCGGGAGCCTGCCGGGCCACAGCGCTGAAAGCCTCCCCTCTGCTGCTGTTTAAGGATTTGGGGAATTGGTTTTGGTTTGTTTTTTATTTTTTTAATATACTGACATGTAGAAATAAAACCAAAATCTCAGGAAAGCAGAAGAAGTGGTGTCTTTGCTTGGCCAAAACTAAACCATCTGGACCCCGAGGTTCCACATTCTCTACCCAGAGAAATTTTGAAGGACTCCCAGCTTTCTGTGGTTCTTTATCTGCGTGTCTCTGGCTTCAATTATCTTGCTTGCCCCACAGTACCAGACTGCTACATGGCCATTTTTCCATCTTCATTTTCACAAGGAAAAAAAAATGTAGTTTTACCAAAATATGGGTTTTTTAATAGGAAAAATTCGCAATTATTAAAAACAAAACAAAACAAAACAAAACAAAACAAAACAACAGGGAAAGCATCAGCCTTGCTTTTCAAGGAGCAATTGAGGTAGCTGAAGTGGTAGCCACGTTTGGATCCTGAGAACTGAACCCAGGCCCGACACACACTAAGCACACATTCTTGCTGAGCTACACCCTCCTTGGCCATGCTAGCCCCATTTATTCACAGACTCACTTGCTGATAATGAGTGTTTCTTCTCCGCTGATCCAGACTCTCATGAACTCCCCGTACATCTTATTATAGTAGTTGCAGGCACTTCCAATCCCCATCCACAAGAACCTGCCATGGGAAATGAGGGGCCCAATTCCCAGACAGTAGCCAGGACCTACAACAAATCATGAGACAATAGTGAACTTCTTAATTAATGCCAAAAATAGTTCTTTCGTATTTAAATTTTTTTTTTTTTACCTCCTCTGGTCTGTATGTGAGTCATTCACCGTGATTTAAAACAAAACCAAGTATGACACGAGACTCTGCCTCTTCAGGACAGAAAAGTACATGGCTTCACACGAGTTCCTGTTGATCTGCCACTTCAGCCCCACTAAACAGGAGGCTGGCTCCATGTGGATTTAAATAAAGAGTCGAAAATAAAAATCAGTTGATCTGTCTGGTAATAAGCATAGAGACTGTGGTAGATGGCAAGCTGACTAACTGTATGGCTCCCTGCTGCTCTGATCTGGAAGTTCTTGGTTGTGAACAACCCAATTGACAGAACGAATGGATTAGAACTGAGCGTGGCTTCCTTTCATGTGAGAGACAGTATGTAAGGACAATGTCCAATCTCAGAGCATCCACTGCTGTAAAAAGCCTCAGTTTATTAAAAGGGGTCTTAAGCAAAAATCTCATGAAGTGTAAGCTGAGAACTCATTATTACAATGAAGAACTCTATCTATACTAGAACTCGTGGACTGGGATCCTTGCTTACGTGGACAATGGCAGAGCATGAACTCAGGGCCAAGGCAGAGAACTTTATACGGTTTATGTCACAAAATGAACTTGGAGCTTAAATTTGTTCTGTTAGACTTAATGGGTGTCATTATGTTCCCAGCATCTTTACACATATATGCCATTATCCTTTGCATATTTTTTAAGCAGACTGGATATGAGATTTATTACTGAACATGATTTGATAGGGTACAGGGGAGCACTGTGGAAGCTCTCAGGAGTGCAGGGCTCGCCACTTGTCCAGGGGACAACGATTAGGGATATATTTGCCCCCACAGCCATCAGGAATGAGCCGTTTCTCAGCAACCATGTCTTCAAATTCATCTGCATTAAACTTGGTGAAGCCCCATTTCTTTGAGATGTGGATCTTCTGGCGGCCAGGGAACTTGCACTTTGCTCCACGAAGAGCCTCAATCACATGTTCCTTATTCTGCAGCTTGGTGCGGATGGACATGATGACCTGGCCAATGTGAACCCTGGCCACTGTGCCCTGGGGCTTCCCAAAGGCACCACGCATACCCGTCTGGAGCCTGTCAGCTCCAGCACAGGACAACATCTTATTGATTCGGATGACATGGAAAGGGTGGAGCCTCACTCGAATATGAAAGCCATCCTTGCCACAACTCTTTACCATGTATTTGTTGGCACAAATATGGGCTGCCTCTAGAGCTTCGGAAGAGAGCTGCTCATATTCATCTGACACCATGTGCCCACAAAGTGGGAATTCATCAACCTTTGCCTTCTTCCGTCCCAAATCAAAGATGCGAATTTTAGCATCAGGGACACCTCGGCAGAAGCGAGACTTTGGGTACGGCTTGTTCTTACAATATCGGTAACACCGGACAGGGCGGCGACCCATGATGACAATAGGATAGTCGGTGGCGAACCGGAGGAAAAGAGCACTTTGCATATTTTTTGAGACAGGGTTAAACTACTTAGCTCAGGGTGTCCTTAAACATCAAGATTCTCCTGCCTCAGTTTCCCAAGTGTTGGGAATTCCAATCAACCCTGGTAGACTTCATTGTACTAGTGGTTGGTAAAAAGTTGGATAACAATTCAATACTGTACAACTGTCATGTAAAATAATTTTTCTAAATGTTTTTTAAAATTCCTTGTGTCAGTGAAATTATTATATAGCCAAGCACATCTAGCTGTACGAGACAACAAGAGCTCTGTGATAGTCTAGATGGTATAAGCTTTCAGTTGAATCATCTGACCTAGATGCTTACTCCCAAATTCGGCAAACAATGTTTAACCATTCACTTTTTAGTAACTGAGTTCCCACTAATACAACTATCAGACCTCCTCCTTGTGTTTGAAGAAAAGATCTTTGAATCAGAAGGTCAATAGAATCAAAGATTTTCAATCTTCTAACTCCAGCAGTGCCACATCGTATCACAGATGATTGACATTATATTAAAAAAATTTCCTTATGTTCTTTCAAAGATGTAAGCAAGCAGATTTGATTGAATATATATTTCTTCAAAATATCAGATAGATCTATCAGCTTTTGATCTATTAAAATGTGTTGTGGACAAAATACCATTAATATATTAAAACGTAGTACATCACAGATGTGCGGTAAATGTTTTCAAATAAACAAGATATGTGCATATAATATAAATAGTGAACTTCTGAATGTTTTTCTTCACACATATACACACATACACATACAAATAAAAATGTTAAGTGCAATAAAAGCAATTGTTGTTCTTCCTTAGGGTACTTTAGGTTGTATTTATGTTTTGATCAAAAATGGAAGACTATTACACAATGTACATTTAGTCTACACAAGGCCAATTATTGACTAAGGAAAGATTTGTCCACAATATTCATTTACTTAATAGTCGAGCCTCATGAGACACAAGGACAATACAATAAATGACTTGTATTTGGAAGCCACAATTCCCCTACTAGTATAGTATTTCCCTACTGTGAAACATAGAAATTTTCAGAGTGAAAACATTTTGAGACAGGTCTCACTATATAGGCCCTGGCTAGCCTTGAACTTGCTTTGTAGACCAGGCTGGCCTCAAACTCACAAATATTTTCCTGCCTCTGCCTCCCAAGTGCTAGGATTGATGGTGTGTGTCACCATGCCTGACCAAAGTTGAGAACATTAGTTTAAAAAGAAATGACAATGGAGATTTGTACCTACTGGAAAGTGAAGATTTCTAGATAGTATGTGGGTTAAGAACCTGAGTGTTCTACCAAGACAAGAAGCAGAGTTTGGAGTTATTAATGACTACCTGTATGTCACCTTAATTCATCCAATAAACACTTACAGAGGCCCTACTGTAGATATTCATTTCAATCAGGGTCCAGCGATACCATGATAAGTATAATAACTGTATATTCTTCAAGGTAATTGAGGAGATGATGTGAAAAATATAAAAGCAAATAATTATAACACATTATACATCTATACCTGTGTGCACATACTCCTTACACTTACATGTAAATTTTGCACCACACCCAAATGAAAAAACTACTCTAAGAGGTATAATATCAATGAAGTATTCTAGTCCCTTCCACATTAGGCAGCTCTCAGCTTCTCAGTTTTGACTGCTTCTCTGGGCATAGGATGATTGCAAGAGACTCCCTCATCTGCTCCCAGGAGCAGTAAACACTTCCCTGTACACTGATATGCCCCAATAGCCCCCTTAAAGCCAACAGCTAGGAACATGTACTAGCTCTCCTAGTCAGGGAACTGGCATCCACACCTATGATTCCCAGGTACACACTTTTTACAGCAGTGCTGTGCACAGTAACCCAACTGGAGACTTTGTCTGATGAGTAAACCATGAGATATGCACAACACTCAAAACTATAGGGCAATGAAAAAGAAGCACACTGACATCACCATCATGGATGGATCTTACTGGCATACAGTAATCAAAAGGAGGAAGAAAGACAAGTGATATACAATTTATTGATAAAATATTTAAAGCAAGACAAAAGCTATATTGTCTGGGGATGTGAACTTGGTTCCCAAACTGTAATACAAGGCAGTAATGTTGTAACAATTAGCAAAATGTCTACCTCTGAGAGAGACAGAAGGAAAAAGGAAAGGAGTGGAGAAGGGGAGAGGGAATGAGGGGGAGAGAAGGGGAGAGGAGGAAGGAGGAAGAGAGGGTGATATCAGGAAAATCTGGAACACTGTTAACATCCTGTTCCTTGCATATTTTCTTTTTGTCAATTATTTCCTTAAGAGAAAAAGAGGGACGTGCTGTCATGTCTGCTTCATCCTGTCTTGCTCTGGATATGTGATGCCCAGGGAAAACTATGTGATCTGGAGGAAAAAGACCAATGTCGAGATTGGAGTGGCTCTGTGTTCTTGAGGCAGGGAGGATTGCCAGGTGGCTAACAAGTCCTGACCAGAGATCAGAGGACTTGGGATATTTATCGGAATTGAAGTGACACCACTTTCCGCAGGAATCAGTCCTTACTCCCCAACTCTTGCAGCCTCCTCCCCCTCCATATCAGCCTGTCATTGTCACTTTCCAGGTCAGAGCCCATACCTTGCTTCTTTGCACATCCCTTGCCACCAAGCACCAGGTCTAGCTGGACTTCTCAGGAAGCATAAATGAAGTAGCTTAGACCTGAGTCCCTGGGCTGTAACACCTGGGTCAAATCCCTCCCTCCTCCTCGAGTACAAAAACAGTCTCGGTCACTAACATCACAGGACAGAGCAGGAAGCTGCCTTAACTGGAACTTACTAAGTAAGGGCTTTTAACCATGACACCTTTTGAATTCACTTTGGTTTTGAGGACCCAAAGTACCCTCAAACTTGTGATTCAAAGAGCCCAGAGAACCAGGATTCAAGAGCAATGACAGAAGGAGCTGGGAGAACAGCCAGCTTTCTTATTTCCTATGGCCAACAGGAGCCAGAGATTCCTGGGCTTTGCCCCTGGAGAGATCTGACCAGACTTCATATTTCCAAGGCAAAGTGTGAATGTAGGTCGGAACTCACAGCCCGAGACTAAGGGACTCCTGGTCCTCTGCCAGGGCTCCTATCTTCCTTCTAGTTGAGCATCAACAAGCCATTTCCCTCCTCTGGAATTTAAGCCTTTCTTTTGTTTGGACTTTCTGGCTTCTCTTGGGGGCACTTTCCCCTTCTATCACATGGAGGAGTTGGACTAACCTCTGTGGCTCTCAATCTTGGCTACTCATGAAACACCACCAAGGAAGGATTTAGAAATATCAACCCAGAGGCCCTGCCTCAGACAGGACCCAGCGGTGATTGCAACTGTGATGCCAGTGGTGATTACTGTCTAGGTGATTGCCACTGGTGACAGTACCATATCCCTGGCCCAGAAGTGGTAGGCATAAATAAGTGCCACCTAGCTTCCTGATTCAGTCCTGGGGGCTGTCATTTCTCACTGTTTCTTTTAAAGGTATGTGTTTTAGCTGGGTGTGGTGGTCCATGACTTCAATCTGAGCACTCGGGAAGCAGAGGTGGGTGGATCTCTGTGAGTTCAACACATGTCTGGTCTACATTACATAGTGAGTTCCAGGCTACACAGATAGCCAGAGCTACAGATCAAGAACATGCTTAAGGGCATTGTGATTTAAACACTATGGGGAAGGGCTTGAGGATCAGCTAGCAAACTCCCATTTTCCAGGTTGTTCTTATACTAAAATTTGACAATGTGTGGCTTCCGTGATAGATGGCCAGTGTCAACCTCTCTTCTGTTTGCAAACTGCTCTCACAATACAGGTGGCTTGGACTTTAGCACCTGAGCCTATGGCAAGAAAAAGTAGGAAAAAGCATTCTACTGCACCCCACCCCCAGCCTCAACCTCAGCTACTCCTTTACCCCAACCAAGGAGCTCACCGTGGGAAATGAGATCCATGGAAGGGGGTATCCAAGCCAAAGCCATGGAGGAGTTGCCATCGGCTCCTAGACCATCTCCTTCAGAGGTGACCCCACCAGGGAGAAGAGAACAAACTCAATTCAATGCTCAGCTAAATTAGAAACTAAAGTAACCTAGAGTGCAAGGCTGAATCAGAGAGATGGACAAATTATCTTCAAAAAGAAACCAGACACACACTTTGTCCCTGCTCTCCCCAGCCCAGCTGCCACTTTCAGTTGCCCTGTGAAGAGCCTTGGCACAGTTGTGAATGGGTGGTTACTATGGTGTTAAAAAAAGCCTTGTTGGATATCTTATGGAGTTAGAAACCAGTGATAACCGTGAGGGATTCACCCTCGATTTAAAGACATTATCTGGAATTTCTGTTTATTCAGAAATAATTTGATACTTGATCATTTCAGCAGCAGGGATAAATTTTTCCACTGGGATTATCAGAATAATTTTATCCGTCTCTGCTTTTGATTGACACACAGACCTTGTTGACAATTCAGTCAGGACGCAATGCTACCAGAGAATGGCTCCAGTTCCCAGCCTTCTCTCATTACCCAGCTCCCATTTAACCATTATGGTGACATTGCTGTCACTGTCACCACAGTGCCAATAAAAGAAAGTGAAGAAGAAGATTAAGAGAAAGAATAAACACAAGGAAGGGAGAATGCATGGATGAGGCGAAGTAGAAGAGGGAAGACAGAAGGGAGGGCAGCCCAGAGACACTTCCACCTGCAGAGCAGAACTGGAATGAATTTGAATCTGTTTTGTTTTTTAATTAACAAAATCTCTAGGATTTTTACCTTGCTCCACTCCATCTCAAGCTAAATGCCTTTAAGGTACTTTTTGTGCCAAAAACCTGTGCAGAATGGAGGAAGCATCTACGCAGCTTTCACAACGTGTGATGTGTTCATCTGCCACAGGCAGATTATCAGTTTAACATTTCTCAGTTTAGTGGTCACTTGCTAGCATAGCTGTGTCTTCAGAAACTTTCCAAGGTTTGCTCTTTGTCCTTTTACCAAAATATTTTTGCTGCCATGAACCAAAGAGCCCAGTGAAACATTCTGCTTAGGTATAGAAGTAAAAAAAAAGAAAGAAAAAAAAAAAAAAAAAAAAAAGAAAGAAAAAGAAAAAAGTAGCTCACCTGGTATTGAAGATGTGCTCTCACAATTCCAAATCAAGACAAGGAGGCCCATGATCAGCAGGAGTGGCATGGCACTGACAGGCACAGCTCCCGGGACCATGTTGGTGACATTGTAGTGCATAGGGTTCAGCATTTCCAGAAACATCTTGTGATATTTGGCCTCAGAAGGAAAAATTCAAAGTTCTATAAGAATAAAGCAATAATGAAGTTAGAAAATAAACCAACGGGCTTGGGTACGACTCCTGCCACTTCTGAAGGTGCTGGAATGGAGAGTTGGGCACTTTGTTTTATAGTGATTGGGTACTTAGACAAGACAAATTTGTGGTTACAAGTCAAAACAAGGATGACCTTGGTAGACTCAGGTTCTGTTCAATGGTTGGTCTGACAGAACTTTATCATCTTGCCCTTGAGTGGGTAGAGTGACGTGCGTGCTCAATTGAGAGTCAACTCTCTGAAGTTCATTCCAGAGGAACACTGTGTTACTTCATCAGCAGCTTTTACTAAGGTAATCCTCTTTCTTTAAAACAAACTCAATTAATAAAACAAATCAAGGACAGGTAAAGGCTCCCATCACTAAATCTAACAGCAGGAGTTCAGCCCCCAGGACTCACATTCACATACCTGTATGCACACACACACACACACACACACACACACACACACACACACACACACACAAATGTAAATATATAAATGTAAAAATAGGTAAAATTAAGCTGGGCAGTGGTGGTGCACACCTTTAATCCCAGCACTTAGGAAGCAGAGGCAGGCGGATCTCTGTGAGTTCGAGACCAGCCTGGTCTTCAAGAGCTAGTTCCAGGACACCTCCAAAGCCACAGAGAAACCCTGTCTCGAAAAACAAAAAAACAAAAAAACAAACAAAAAAAAGGTAAAAGTAAAGCAACACAAGCAATGTCCCCAATTCCTTCCCTTGATCAAAATTACTTTCCCAGATTGTACATTTCTACAGAAAGAATGTATTTCTTGGATACTATCAAAGTGTTCTAGGAATCTTCATTAGGATGTCCGTGAAATTCATGATGTGTTAAACATGACAGTCTTTCTCTAGAACCCCAGACTGGTTAAACAATGTTCATGGGGGTCATCATGAGAGGTTGGGGTGGGGTGGGGGTGGAGAACAGGAAAGGGAGGGTAAAGAAAAGGAATAGGATGGAGAAAGATAATAGACAGAGCAGCATTTCCCAGCAGCAGGCTCTGGTGCCACTCAGCCATCTGTCCCAGTGATAACTTGTGTCCTGTGTAGGATACTTCCTTTTAGGCCTCAGCTGGTTTTCAACATGAGTATGCTATGGGTCTTTCAGTTGTGTTTTATCAGCTCTACTCATAGGGAGGAACTTAGGCATGGCAGTTGTTCTAACAGCCAAGTTGAAGAAACCTGTATCATTATCATAAAATGTATTTTCCAGTGGCAGATGACACACTCCAAGCTTTGCCCTTATGTAGTAAGTGCTGGAAGTCGAGGAGACTTGCCAAGACTGACTGGGTTTTTATATTACACTAGAACTCTATATTTACAAAGTTGACCTCAAATTGGATGCTGGAAACTCTGTGGATCCCCTGATACACTACAGAAAATTTTGTATGCACTCACATACACTCTTTTGTTGTTGGATTTTTGAGATATGATTTCTCTATGTAGTGCTGGCTGGCCTGGAGCTCACTATATAGAACAGTCTGCCCTCAAACTCAGAGATCTGTCTGCCTCTGCCTTCTGGGTTCTGGGATTAAAAGCGTGAGTCACTACTGTATTGTTTCACATACACTTTTTTTAAAAAAAATTATTTGTGTCTGTGTTTGCATGTGTTTATACACATATGTGTGCAGGTACTTGAGGAGGCCAGAAGAGGATGTTGGGTGTCAAGAGCCCTGGAGCTAGAGGTTCAAGCATTTGTGAGTTCCCTAACATAGGTGCTGGGAACTGAAATCGGGCATTCTGTAAGCATCCAGCACTCTCATTCCCTAAGTGGCCTCTCCAGAGGAGAAAGGCCACAACTTTCACCAGATTCTTACACACTATGTGATAATATTTCTCCCCTGATCTCTATATGACCTTTGCTTTCTAGCAACTATAGAAATTTTACAATTGAACTCATTCAGCTCATTCATCATTTTGTTAACTCATTATATTACCCTGCCATTTAAATAATAATTATGTGCAACACTGAAAAATGCCAGCGCATGTGTTGAGCAGCTTAATTGTTACAGTTTTCCAATTGATCTAAGTGGAGAAGGAAGAGTCAGCAGCTGTTACTAGCTGCTTCCTTTGTTAATGAGTAGCTACTTTTAATGGGTTAATGTTATTTTTTTTTTTATTTTTCAGAGAAAAAGATTCTCAGTAGAAAAAAAGAGCAGGTCAATGAGATGGCTCAGAGGGTAAAGGCACTTACAGTGAAGCCTGACAACCCATAAGCTAGAAGGAGAGAACCAACTCTCACATTTTCCTCTGACCTCCACATGGCACTGAAGCATTTGAGCGCGCGCGCGCGCACACACACACACACACACACACACACACACACACACTAAAAATGAACAAATTAAACGGTGGAAGAGAAGGAAGAAAGCAATGTTCAAATACTTTTGACAAATTTTTTTTTTTTTTTTTTTTTTTTTTTTTTAAAGAAAGGTTTACGCTATATAGCTCAGGTTGGCTTGGACCTTGCGTTCACCTGCCAGGACTGGGGTTATGGGAATATACCCCATGCCCAGCTTAAGAACCTTGCTTAGCTCAGGCAATGTTCACACAAACCACCAATCCCAGCACTCAAAAGGCAGAAGCAGGCATCTCTGTGAGTTCAAGGCCAGCCTGATCTACAGAGTGAGCACCAGGACAGCTAGGGCTACACAAAGAAACCTTGTCTTGAAAAAACCAAACCAAAACAAACAAACAAAAATACAAAGAGAAATCACTTTAAGATATGAGCTGTTTTAAATTATTGCATATGGCAATATTTATTATGTGTGAAAATATTTATTATTTATTTTTTCTAAGAAGTATAAGTTGTGATAAGAGTGATGTTTTGACCAGAAGATCTGAAGGTCATAGAACAATAACAAATATTCTCTAATGTCTCCAGATGGCTTTGCACAATTTCCATTGCACAGCCATGTTTACAGCAGTCAGCTGCCACTCAAAGTGGAGGCTGCATATGTCTATATTCAAATGGGGCTAAAAAGCCTGACTTCTCAAAATGATGTCAAACCCCCATGGGAGCATCACATTAAGAAAGACAGAAAAAGAACTTCTGTAACACTTCCAAAACATTGATTGTATGTCAGATACTATCCTAACACCAACCGTGTGAGCAATGTGTGGTTGCCCCCATTTTACACAAGAAGAGGCTGAGCCGTGGGAAGGTCATGTGACTTGTCCCAGGGTGCCCAGTTTTAGTGTGGCAGAGCCGGATTGGCACCCACATGGTCTTCTCCAATGCACATGTTTTTATTTGTGCCATGCTGCTGCTTGTTATGGCAGTCTTAGGGTATCTACATTTGGATACTTTGCCATCTTTTATAGGGTAGGTTATTTAGAACGAGCTGCTTTAAGGATTAAATTTTTCTGATGTCTGGACGGCACAGGTGGAAAGTTCCCCTGAGATTCCTTTCTCACTAATCTTGGTTATTGTGTTTGGTATAACACTCCGATGAGCTACATGGGTTGGTTGGACAGAATCTTTGGAAAAGCAGTACAGGAATGGAGAAAAGCCCTGGTACTTCAGAGAGGTAGCTTCAAGTCCCCTGCCAGTAATAATATTTCTTCCTGGAGGCAGAGGGGAGGCACAAGTTAAGTGTGTTCAGAATGTGGCAAGGTTTCTAAGATCCCTCCCCGGTGTTGTACACGTGGGAAACAACCACTGCGGAGAGAGACTCTTCACTGGAGCTGCCTGCAAGTTGATCAGATAGTTCCTAGTGTGTCAAATCTGCGAGTCACCACCCACGCTGGGGTGGGCCTTTTGGTGAAGTATCTGCCACTGAGTCACCTATGACACCAATAGACTCGTTGTCTCACTAAGATAGATTTGGGAGGAATCACATCTTTAATCTGTTGTCAATGGCCTATCACGGGTAAATACATATTTGTTAATATTTCCCCAGGGAAAGCCACACAACACAGACAGACAGACACATACAACCACACACACACACACACACACACACACACACACACACACACCACAACATAGCAGACACATATGACTTTAGAGGGCTCAGTGCCTCCAAGAGCAATATTACTACCCGAGTCTCCAATGGTTCTCTGAAGGTCATTCTACCTTTATCTTCAGGTAGTCCCTACCTATTATGGCATCCCATGCTTGGGCCTACTCAACACAGGACTCCAGACACTTGATCTCTCCAGGCCTACCTCTGTACATCAAGTGGCCTGACTAATGCGTTCACTTAAGGCCCTGCCAACCTCAGGGTAAGGAAATTCCAAGCCTCTCTGGAAAGTCCTCAGGTTGTTCCATAGCAAAGGCCTGAAGGGACATAGCACAGATTTGGTGTCATGGAAACCTTGGGGTTAGAACACAGCCCTGGGTCCCATAGAGCTAGATGGGATCCCTGGATACCCTGGTTAAAGCCTCTGCATGGTGGGGTTGCAGGTCTGGCCAGACCTTACTACAACCTTCCTTTCATCTGACAGTGGTCTGTCCACCAGGGAGACTATCTGGTCATTCCGAGTCTGAGAGATGAGTACAACTCTGTGGAGCTCTTTCTCATTCTCTCCAGTGTCCTCAGGCTCCCTCGTTCCTGAAGAAACATCACCTAGCCATGTTGGTCCCCCCTACTGCACCCTTTCTTTGGACTCTCCCCAGGGGAATGCACCACTAGAGGCAAGACAGATGTAACCTTGCCTCTCTGGGGTTGGCAGGGTCTGAGGAACATATGAACACTTACTAGTTGGTTTTTCAAGTGAGTGACGATTTCTAGTAGGGGCCGTCTTTCAGCTGGAGGACGTTCACGCTAAGAGGGAAATAGACTATGGAGTCATCAGCGGGGGAGAGGTGGGCAGGAAAGCTTCATTCGAATAAGAAGAAACATTAGTCAAAACAAAGCACACAGAGAAAGTTAGGGACCCAGAGTGCCAAAAGAGGGAGGCTGTGTAGGGCACACTGGGCGGGACAC